ATATCTCTCTTTTACTACCATTTCTCCTACACTGAATCAAGTAAATTAATAATTAAGTCAATCACACATTAATCAATCTTACTGAGAAATTTCTTTAAAATTATTTTTAATTACTACAACAAAATTTATTATTATTGATACTTATTTAATGATAATAAATTAAATATTTTTATTTTATTATTTAATAAAATATTAATAATTAATATATAATAATTACTAAAAATATATTTATATCACATCAAAATTTATTATCAACGATAATTATTTATTAAAAAAATTAAAATAATTTTTTCTATAAATTAAAAACAACTTATACAAAAGTAAAAAGTAAGATTTTGGAGAAATTAATATAAAAGAACTTATATAAATTAATTAATGTATAAACTAATTTTATTATATAGAGAAACTTCATTTTTCTTTCATAATTTTCTCACTTTAGAAGTATTTTTTGAAGAAATTTACTCAAATATATTATAAATTAATTGAATTAAACCTTAATCCTAATTAACGGATAGAAGTTAACCTTGGTTGGCAACAACACATAAGAAATTTTTGCAAGACAAAGGGTATTACAGTAACTGCCTTCTCACCCCCTGAGGAAGGGTGCTAATTTGGTGATGGACAATGGTGTACTCAGAATTGGCAGATGCTCATGCCAAGACTGTAGCTCAGGTATATGCTAATTTGAATAATTTCTAAGTCGCATTAATTTATGATATATATATATATATATATATATATATATAATATAATATAATATAATATGTTGTAGTTTGAGTGTTGTTACTTGATATGAGAAAATAAATTAAAGCAAGTGTCAACATTCTTTGATGTTGGATACTGCTTGAAAATTTTAATTAAATACTACTTATTATATAATGTAACTGTTTATGTATAAATTTATAATCTATAAAATATAATAAAAGAAATTAATCTATTTGATGTATATTTTTTTTTACGTAATTTTATCTTAAATTTTTTTAATAAAAAAATATTTTAAAAATTAATCATTTTTATAATAATAAAATTTGAACTCAAAATTTTTAAGTTTAAAGATTAAATACAACATTAATTAATCTATCTAACATTGATAATTTTTAAATACCCAATGCACATAACTTTGACACAGCTACAAGCCTACAACCTTTTTCATCTGCAAGCTGTGTTGGTACAAAGATTTGACAGCACTAAACATCTAACTTAATTAAATGGATTCAAAATTATTTTTTGTTTTTGACATGAAATGTGAGATGTTAATGGATAAAGTTTTTTAGGCCACCAACTTTAGATAGGAACCACCTCAATCAAATGCACAAACCAATATGCAAAGTCAAAAACTTATAATGGTTTTAAAAAAATGATATATTCTCCGAATGTTCATTCTGAATGATTTTTCGACTGATTAAAAAGTTTTTTTTAATTAAAATTTATATTTTATAATTTTAAAAATTATAAATATGAATCATAATTAATTCAGACGTGTTTTTGATCAACGGAAATTATAACATTTTTCATGATTTTAAAATATAATTATTTGTCCAACTTCGGTGAATTTTTTATTTTACACCAAATTAAAATTTAAAATACAGTAGTTTTAACTTGAAACTTAAATTTAAAAGGAAGGAGTTATACTGCAGGGTTAAGTCTCACATTGAGCCACTGTTTATTTCAGGGGATTTATTGTTCACGACGAACGAAAGGTGAAGAAACTTGACGTTTGTTTCTGCTGATTTGCACCGAAAGAAAAGCGAAAAAAAGTGGAAAAACCCGCGTGGCCGTTCCTCGCGAAATTGTGAAGAAAAAAAATGAAAACCACGTAAAAAATGAGAAAACCCGATAATACCCCTGCCCAAAAACTAAAAAAAAAATGAAAAAACTAAAAAAAAAATGAAAAATAAAAGATAAACCGTAGTAAAAAAACCCTCAACTAGCATAATCAATTATGGTGCAAATGAACTGCATAACACAATGCAATGGCATAAAGCTCGAAAAGGATATGATTAATCATGCTAAACTTTTCCCCTTCTTTCCCGTTATTATTGCCTATTATTACTTACTCGTTGGCATCAAGAAAAGGGTCATAGATAATTCACAGTGGGATATGCTCCACCTTTTTGGGGTTAAAAATCTTTCTAAACATTCCTTTTCATATGTAGTTTTTGTACACACACTTTATAATATTCTTTTGCTAATGAATTTATTAATGTAAAAATTATTATCCATCTATTTTGTAATGTTAAAAATTTCTTAATTTTTTAATTGATAAAAATTAACTTGTACAATTAACAAATGTATCTTCATTTTATTATAATTTATGTCAATGATTTATTAATTTTTTAATTTATTAATTAATTTTAAAAAATTTATTGTACATTTTTTTTATATTAAGAAAATTCTATTATTTAAATATTGACATCAAAAAGTGGAAATATAAAAAAAATAAAATAATACATGTTTATAAAATTAAAATAATAACACTTTCATAAACATTAATAAAATAATGTTAGAAAATATAATTATCATAATATATTTTGTTATTATTATTTATTATTATAAATATTATTATTATTATCATTATTATTAATATTATTATTATTTATTATAATTAGTATCATTATTATTTATTATGATTCTTATTATTTTTCTAATATTTATTATTATTATTATTATTATCATTATTTATTATTTTTAAAATAAATTATACCTATTAATATAATTTTATTGTAATTATTATTATTTACAATAAATAATATTCTACTCATTTTTAATCAAAGGGTAAAAGTGTAAATTACATATTCATCTATTATATTTTTAATTTTTATCTATCACATCAATCAATTTCTACACAAATTCTCACAAACTTTCAACTCACTTTTCACTATCTTTTCTTTAATCCAAACAACCTCACTTTTCACTCTCTTTCTCTTCAAATTCTTCATTTTCCACTCCCCCAAATCCATCATTCAATCCAAACACAACCTGAGGGAAGATTACACTGGTCAAATAAATCCCACATCAAACACTAAAAGAGATATGTTAAATAGTCTCATTCTAAAAGAGATCTATTAGACTTACTATGTAGCCTTTGAAAGAGCTGTATTGGTATTTCGTTTTATTCATTAATTCGAATAATTTATGGATTTAATTTATGATTATATTTATTTATTTAAGAGTTTATAAATTTTATTTATTTATTTATTTAAGAATTTAAAGTTTAATGATCAGATTATTCAAATTTAAAAATTTAATGTAAGAACAATAGAATTTAATATATATATATATATATATATTTATTTATTAGATTTACTCATATTTACATGGACATAAATAAATAATTGTTTAGTTATGTTCTACATCAATTTAACGATTAAAATTAAAAAAAAATTTAATGTATAAACTAAGTCTTATTTTATTTAATAATTTTAAATTGATGAATATTTCATTTAATTAATTTTAATAAATATTTTATTTTATTAATTTAAATTGACAGATAATCATAAAATCATTTTATACGTTGATTTAA